GGAACGGTTCCTACCTGTTTGGCGGTGTTGCTGGCAATGGTTCCGGAGATTTCGCCAATAGTTCCTCGAGAGTTTGAAAATGGTTCCACAGCCCCTCATTGCACTCACAGGCAAACAGACCACCAGTAGCTCCAATATATATACATAGATATACATGTAGACTGTAGACATTAGATATATGATACAAATACACGGATAAAGGTGCCGAGGGAAAGGTAGTGCGGATCCTATCAGGGAGCTTTGGGTACACAATGGATCCGAAGAAAAGCTCGTCTCAAACGGGCCCCAAACCGGTCTGTCTATTCTTCTTCAAAAGTCCTGTAAAGATGGCCGACAACTTTTGAAGGGCCCAAAAGGCATGATTTTGCGCATAGTTTGGGTCCAGGTAGGTCCCGCGTGTAGTCTCCTAAGCTTGTTTAAATGAATTTCGTGAACCACCAAGTCATTTGGAGCCCTTTACACAGAATCCTATATTCACGAATGTCAAGGGCCATTTAATCCTCAAGGTTCTGGCGCCTTTTCCCGAAAGTTCTGCCAAGGGTTCTTTGCAGAAAGTTAGTGCCTGCTTACACTAAATGCCGTGCTCGCGCGAATGTCCAACAGATGGCCTAACACACAACCACTCCTAGAGCATATGCGTTCGACGAAAATACAAAACCGTGCCTACAGCCTGAGCCATGGGTTTGGATCGAGAAGGTTACCTTCGCAATTTACGCGAGCTCGAGGCGCTTCACCAAGTTGTGTTGGGATGATCTTTTTGAGAACTATATGCTTTGGCTGCTTCAGCATTCCGTGAAGCATGAGTGCAGACAGCCTGTGGTTTTGAAGACCCAAGCCGGCCCAAGCCCTAGAGGACGTTTTTGTTTGTGCACCAGGCCGGCCGCGAAGTCTTCGTGCGGCCTTTGGAGCTGGAAGCAACGGTAAGCACCCCAGGCACACGCGATAGCTACCCATCACATCGAATCGGCACTTAGTCTTGCATGGTTTGTGTTTGCTATGGTCCAACATCGTTCGTCAGTCAATGCATGGTTTTCGTCTAGTTTCGCAGGACCCGAGTGATCGTACACATGCTGTTCAACCACAGTCCTCTCGACTGACGCGTGTTTGTGTGTTATCATGTCGCATTAAGCTGTGTCATGTTGCCGAGGCAGACGATGTGCGCGATATAGTCGTTCAGCGTTGTGGCGAGGCTTCGTGCTGCAATGGCATTTGCTTTGCCAGGGCTGGCTGGAGCACTTGTTGGAAGACAATGCTGCATGTGGCATGCCTGGCAGGCTTCTGTGGCAATTGATCGGGTGAAGCTGGTCAAGCGGCTGAGCGTGATTTGTTGGTTGATGTCGGTCGGTATACAGCGCAAACTATTCGTGTCTGTGCCACTGCGATTTCGCCGTCTTCAAGCGTCTCGCATTGCTGGCAGTGCCATACACTGTTTGGATTAAGCGAGCCCCAAGTACCACATGATGCAAACCAACACTGCCGTTCATGGTCTAAGGATCGACCTCTCAGTTTGCTATTGCATCTTCACAAAGAGCATAACAAGCCATAGAGGATTTGGTACAATTCAGCATTTCAACGAGTAAATATGTATTTTGCTTTCCAAAGACAGACTGAACATTTTCTTCCCCGCCTTGCGGCCCGTCACTACATGTTCTTGCACGATGTAGAACGCTTGTCATGGAGGCCACAACAAGCACAGTTGTCCAAGGCATGCTGGCGGCGCCTTGTTGTCGGCTTTCGTGACTCTGAGCAGTGTGCAAGAGGCGTGTGCTTGCATCTGGTTCGGAGAAACGATCGCAGTGTATGGTGGGGCTGGGGCAGGTGATGATCCCGCGCTTGCAGATCATGTCGCAGTACTTGGGATGTGAGTTCTACTGAGCTGTCTGCACCTCTCCTGCCTGTCTGCGTCCAGGCCATCCTGTCACGTCCTCTGGAACTCCAAATCCCTCGAGTCCCTGAGACACTAGTTTTGAAGGCCCTGTGCCGCGTCCCAAGTGTCAGGCCAGGCTGGTTACTCAGAGACTCGACGGTGCCAAGATTCGTGGCAAGGCACTGGGCCGTACTGAGAGGCTTCTCCTTCGTGGGTCGTGTTCTTTCCACTATGATGTACATCACGGTGTTTGCATGACTTTAGACTTGAAAAATCCTTTTGTGTTTTGGGGTGTGTTGAAGTTGATGTGGCTCAAGTTTTGGTTGCACGAGAGTATCATGCCGTTGAATTTTTTGTGTTAATGGAGCATGCTGAACACTGCCAACATCCCTGCAATGCTGCGCTCCCGACACAAAGAGATGCTTTTACATGCCAAACTGTCCTGTTGGCCACAAATGCTGCCGATGGGAAAGTCCGTCAGATGTTGAGAACGTTTTGAAGGCATGTGAGAAGAGAGACGCATTTGAATGTTTGTTATTCGGTGTCGTGCGGCTGTGAAGAGCGAAGCTTCAGAGGTCCTCGCGGTCAGCGTGGCGCGGAACCAGGGGCAGAGTCGCGTCAAGGAGCTCCGGATGCGGAAGTGCTGGGCCAGCTCCGAGCCTTAGGAGATTTACACCTTGGTCTGTTGTTTGTGTGGAGGAGATCTGCATGTTCTTTCTGGAGGGCAAGTGCCAGAGACCTTTGGTTGCACAAGTCGCTGTTTTGCTTCCAGAGCTACTACTTGCCTTGTGGAGGAGGGCAGAATTGTCAATACCTGCACGACGCGACGGGTCGAGGCTGAGTCATGTGGCTTTGCGAGCCAGTAGCAGTTTCTTGCTACAGTTCCCAACGAGAGAGCTTCACACTTTGCAAAAAGCAGGTGCAGTCGCTACATGTCCAGGGCTTGTCCCAATCACAGAGCTCATGCTGGAGGCAGTGGACGCCGCTTACCTGCCTGCCGCTTCTTCGCTGCAGGCCAGATTCAGTTTGTGCGCATGCCACAGAGGCTTTCTCTGACGAGGGTTGGTGCACATGACCTAGTTGTGCTGACTGCATGGACGGGTCGGGTCTTGTACAGCAACTAACTTAACTCGCACATATCTTCCGTGTGCGTGTCTCTGTTAAAGCTGCTCGCTGACGGAAGCGTTTCTCGTGCAAGGGCGCACTCCCAAGTTCCAAGCAATCCCTATGGTAGCGAACCCTCTCAGGCCCTGTTGTGTCTATTGGAGACTCGCTTCGCTTTTCTGAGTTTGATATAATGTCAGATTTCCAGCCCTGGCAGTCCAAGAAGACCGCTAGTGAATAAACAATTCCACGACCAAGGAGAAAATGGTAAGTGAAAGACACGAACATGCCAAATGTGGCAGCTGCTTCGCGGAAGGGGGAAGACAGTGTTCGCCGATGGATGAGGAAACAAAGTGCTTGTGTCGCGGCCATCTGCCACAGAAAGAGGAAGGTATGCTCTGATGTCAGCTTCCTCAAGCCGAACTGCAACCTCAGATCTAGTTTGTCACTACAAGCCGGTAAACTGGTAATCTTGCTCAGCACTTCATAAAGAAACCATGTGGGCGACGTCCCCGCTGCATCTGCAAGCTGGAAGGAAGCTGCTCGCGTGGTGAGAACTGCAAGTTCTCGCACGAGAGGCCAGACGATGTAGAGACTTCGGAGTGTAGGCAGGAATGCTCGAAGATGCCCTGTACAAAGCCGCAGTCCCGGAGGCAGGATGATGTCCAGGAGGCCGGCGCGGTGCAGGATGATGTTGAGGAGGCCAGGTACCGATTCAGCGCTTGATTCTGGTCTTTGCCAGAGATTTTGGCAGGCCGCGGAGGTGCAGACAGAGGGGCTGACAAGCAAGCACAAGCGCCTGAAACACCCGTCTGATCCCACGCAGACAGCCAAAAAGAAGAGGACGAAGGAGGAGGCCGCCATTTCGGCCGAGATGGCCTCCACCTCCCGACCAGGCCGGGAAGGGCCAAAGAAGAAAAAGACCAAGGCAAAGGTGCCGGAAGAGGAACCGCAAGAGGACGGAGGCGACGGCTCTCCGCAAGCTGAGCTGAAGCGCAAGCAGCGCAAGCGCAGAGAGCACAGAGACGCGACGACTCAGTCGGAAGCCCCGGAAGCCCCGGGCCCCCAAGGACCCCAAGGCCTCCAAGGAACGGCAAAGAGGAAGGAGAGGAAGCTTCGGCGCAAGACTGCCCAGGCTGAGTGTTGGAAGTTGTGTTTAGCCGCTTGTTTCGTGCACGTGAACATGGGTGGTTGCCAACTGATAACTAACGTCGTGCATGCTTCAGGGGTTCATGCTTCTGCCGCTTGAAGCCTTTATGTGCAGGGCTGTCCTATGGGTTGCCCAATACAAGTATCCGTCCAAAAATCAGCGATGAAGCTACAGAGGCTCGTGGCCCCAAGGCATGCTGCGTGGTACGCTGACATGTGCACAGGATGTTCCTGCCGTTCCCACCGCTGCTCCGGCAGCCAAGGGTCAGAAGACCAGAAAGAAGCGGAAGGCTGCGGCATAGCTTTCCACGAGACGAAGACGACGTTGCGAGCTCGGCTTTGTCAACTCGGACGGCTCCAGGTGCCACAGCATAAACTTAACGAAGCCCTGGTTGAAATCCTGCAGATTGGCTTTCCATGCGCGAGCACATCTTCTCGGCCCAAGCTGAAGCTGTGTCGTGGGCAGCCGGTGTGCCCGTGCAGACGGCAGCATCTGAATCGATTTGTGTGGCAAGAGAGGACAGCTGGCGAGGAGGCGGTGGGTAAAGGCTGCGCACCGCCGGTGGAGCAGCCGACAGCGCTGCTGGCTCACCCGCAGCTGAGAACATCGCGCCTACAGCGCTGTGAGGCCCTCGCCCGAAGCGTTGACCTGGCAAAGGCATCCCGAAGCTTGGAAAGTCACTAAGTAGACGCCTGAGGTCGGAATGAGCGAGCACGTCTACGGTCTAGAGGGTTTGGGATTCTCTGCGGGTTTTGATGTTGCCATGATGCTGTGACGAAGCCTGGGATCGGGAATGTAGATGTCAGAAGCCGATGCATGTGTGTGCCTCGAGTGGGCTCAGAGCTTTAGTGCCTGGGGAACCCCGTGCCTGAGAGAGCGCAGAGTGCAGCTCGCTTGCAGCGGAGCGGAAAGGCGAAGGCGAAGGGAAGTTGAGGGAGGCTATTTTGAGACGTGGTGGGACTCGTCGCAGTCGTCGCATCACGTCAGGGTGGGCCTCGTGAAGTTGGCGCCACAGCTGAGGCCTCCGCTCGCAGATGTGACGCTATGTGCATCTGGCGGGGTTTCTCTCGTCGGAATGCACTGCTGCACGTGGTTTGCATGCTTCTCCTGCATGCCTTGTTGGTCACCGGCATCCTGCATTGAGAAGCTTTGCTTTTGCGGCTGACGGAGATGACTCAGTTCCTGGGAACGGTGTCAGCGTGAGGCTTCATTGCGGTCTTCAAGCAACTGTGAATTGTCCGCTCGCAGTGGCTCAGGGGCACCAGTAGGGACAAGCCGGCGCAACTACAGGAGTCCAGGGGTGCTCGGCCAGTAGCGGCAAAGAGGGCGCACGCAGCTTCCTTTCACGGTTGCTTTTCCAAGCCCAAAGCCTGAAACTGTCTTGACCTGTCTGGTGTTTCGGAAAATTGAAGCCACTCTTGCAATCGTGGCCGTGACGGCCGGTCCGGCTGCCAGAGCTCCTTGGCTCAGGCATTTGCATAGGCTTGAGGCAATGTCCCACAGGCATTTTGAACATCAGCTACTCGGGTTCATTCCCTTTACAGAACGGGATCCCAGCGCTGTCTTCTCGAGTTGGTCTTCAGGCCGCAGTGATGAAAGATGCTGCTGAATCCCGTCCGGAAATTCAGGACCATTGCACCTCCGGGTTCGGCTTGCTGATGTGTCAGGGTAGATCGGCAAGTACGTTCTCTTTTCGGCCTGGAAGGACGTTCCATCGATGATTCTGGACCTCAGGCACGGCTCTGGTTTTTGGACAGGTTCCATGGTGTTTGATTAGAGCTTTGGAGCTTCGTCCTCGTTGTCTTGGGAGCCATTAGACTCTCTCTAGTCGTAGAAGTGTGAGCTGGGTGTAAATCTCTAGGCTTGCAGCAGCTCGTGCAGGCAAGAGATTTTACAGCTGCAGAACTTGCTTTCTGGAATGGATGGCACATTGTCATCCCACACTGCCTCCATAGCCGCCTGGCTTCTATTTTCAAGATGCGTCAACTGCTAAAGTTGAATCTAGAGAAGGTTGAAGGGCGCGAAGGTCGACGAAGATGGTATGGATTGAGTGACAGGGATCGAACTCGGATCACTTGAGCAGCTTGCTCCCATGCCATGGCAAGCCCCTGTTCAAGCAAGCCTTTGTTTCTCAGGACTCGCTCCGTTGCACAGTGGACAGCGTGTTCGTGGGTGCAAGGAGCAGGAGCAAGCTCTCAACAGGCTTAGCCTCTTGGAAGGCATTTGCTCACTGTTAAGGGCCTCAAGGCTCGTGTTTGGTTCCTTGTCGGCAGAGCCCTTTTGAGGATCGGTGTATGGAGAGCACCTCTGAGGGCCCGGAGGACTCTCTTCTGTTTAATTGAAAAGTGTGGGGTTCATCCGTATTAAGACTTTGCTGCTCTGGCAGGTTGCAGGTAGAGGGAGTCATCGACCGGAACTTGTCGACTTGGCCGCTGCATTTCTGTAGAGTCTCTTTGAGGAGCAGGACCCTGCCTTCTCGTCCTTCGCCGTCAATATCAACACTGAGGTTCCAAGGGTTGTCCGAGGTATCTTTCTAGGTCGTGTCTGGGCTGCCTGGTGACTGAGGGACCTTGTGAGCTAAAGAGATAAAGAGTACGCGTTCTGCGGGTCGGATTCTGTTTCATATGTTGGGATGGTTACAGTACGGAAGCTCGCGTGCCAGGTGAATGAACGGCTGGATACCGTGGAACTTGTGCAAGCTCCGCAGGACTGATCTTCTCTTCATGGGGATGCAAAAGTCAGTCATCTCGCTGCAGTCATCTCGCTGACGTGGATGACTCATGACTCCGGCTTTGGGACAAGCTGCCCCACAGCCATGTATTTCTGAGCCAGTGGTTGTGAAAGGTTCCAGCGGTTCATGCTCCGGATCGAAGGAACAAGTCATAGGATGGTCCTGACCAGACTTGCACCAAGTTGCCAAACGTCACAACAATGAAAGTTGGAGAACACCCTCGCGACTCAGAAAAGCGAAGCGAGAAGCAGCCATGTTCGGATCGGAAGAGACAAGTCACAAGTCAGAACACACACAGAGCTGAATCGGGAAGCTGCCGCAACATCGATTGAATGTCCTTCTTAAATCCTGCATAAGCTTTTCAGCTGAGGGGAGGTTAATGTTGAGGTTTCAGGGTTCAAGGGCTTTCGGCCGGATCCTGAAGATCTCAGGAGGGTTCACGGGCCCCTCCGGTGCGTGAGGTCACTCTTCGGGGCATGTGTCTTCTGTCAGGACGTTATCAAAAGCCCACAACCCAAACTCCTTTCACTCCAAGCGAAAGCTCTTCAACTCCGCACTCTTGCATCCATTTGTTTCGTGACGTGAAGAGTCCGACGAGGCATGCGCCTAACGCAGGATTGAGTTCATTGTTCAGGCACCACTGACTCCTCCTCAGCAGAAATCGCAGAGCGCATGCATTATTCAACCATTCACAGCCTTGTTCTCTGATTGCATGCGATTCCCAGAGAAAAAACAGATGGGTCATCAAGTCTTGGGGATGCTTCGTCCGGTCTGATGTTCCAGCGAACACTGTTGCGTTATCTATATGTTTCTGCGTACCTCCCAAACCCCAGAGCTTGAATTGCCCGAGAAGCCTGGCACCTCCGTTTCGGGACTCCGCTTTTTGCCGCTGAGAAGTTGGCATGTTGATGTGGAGAGGTGGAGGGCTAGTTGTAGCTAGTTCTCGAAGCTTGGAGGATCCTCCTGCGCTCCTCCCGCTTCCGGGGGTGATCGGGCGAGAGGGTGGTGGCCTTGACCGGGAAGGGGGGTCACCTGTGTCT